TGTCCGTGATAGTTGTTCGGGCTAGCCATCTGACGGTCTGTTGTTCGCAGCATCTGCTTGTCATTATTGGAGGCGACTGTGCTGCTGGGCATCCTTGTTCATCTGCGTTATATTGCGTGCACCTTTGCGATGCAGTTTGGACTTGACCAAACACCAATTCGACACGACGTGTTGCGAAGCCAGCAGCATTGGCGTGCAGTTGGTACTGAACGTGCACTTGCTTTGGCTGTGCGGATAAAAATCAGCACTGTCTAAATAGAGGAGTATACAGAATAGGTGGAGGACAGCTAGGCGACCTGCGTGTGTGAGCACGATGATGCTGTGATTCTTTGGTTTTGCAGTTTGTGTACGCTGGTCTATTGCCGCAGTGTGTCTGAGCATTGGTTAGCTTTCCGACGCATGTGCTGGGGTGAGCAGAAAGTATGCAGGTCGAATCAAACGCGTGTTGTTTCCCCGTTGGGGGATATTGCTTTTGTGTGAGGTTTCCTGTAGCAGGGCTGGATTTGTATTTGCATGCGTGCAATTTGATAGAGGTACGGTGTGTACACGTGCGAGCTCGTCTTGGTTGAATTGTGATATTTTTTGTTGCTTGTGGGGCAGTGTTTGTTGCAACGCTGGCCTACTGTGACACCCTCTACTATACCTTATCGTATACTCACCAGGTACGGCCTGCATCGCCCAGTATGCATACATACTCAAACAGGTGTGCTGTTGGTGTCACGACGAAACGTGGATGAAGTTCGTGAACGCATTTGTAGAGCCATAGTGCGGCAAATCCTGATCATGCTGATTTGTACACCAAATAGGCTGGTTCCGTTGTGGATGGCGTGAGGCTTCGGAACGGTGGTCAGTCCGGCAATGGGCGCTGGTTCAGAAACGCTCCAAGCCTACTCGTTTGCTCGGCGACGTTGCAAGTGCACGCTGCGGTGAGAGGTGTTTGGCCGCAGATAAGTAAAGAATTTGCGCCCACTAACTCGTGAGAAAACGGCGGCGCATGGGCAGAAGAAGTATTGGTTTCCCTTATTTTGGTAGAGCTCGTTACCAGTGTCTTTGCAAGGCACATATTGGTATAAGAGCCTCAGCCTGTAACTTGACATTACGAATCGGGAGTGCCACGTGAGGCCACTCTCAACTGTTGTAAACATGGTGGCTCGTGAATCTTCAAGCATCGTCCGTTTGTTGTTGGGCGTGTTGCCGGAAAACGGCAGGCGACATTCAAGCCGAGGGCGGTGGTGTACTCCAGTGCAGCTACACAGTCATGGCTGAGCGTCCGTGCAACATGTGTGCGCGTACGTAACTTCCCGATTTGGAGAGGCGAAGCATTTATCGTATGTTAGCACAGGCGATCTCAGGAAAGTGGTGAGGAAGCATATTTGCAGTGCAAAACGTGGTAGGTGGAAGCCGCGACCACGCGGTGATGTGTAACAAACTTAAAGTAGCATTGCTGACAGCATTGGTGACTCGCCTAGTCATGTATTATGGCAATTATTGTGAGGGAGAATGGGAATACCATGGGGCCAGGCTGTGACGGCCTCTACGGCCAAAACGCATTTTGCGAGCCCCGTATGGCGCTTGGACACAAGACTGCCAAATTTGTAGCTCATTGTGTAGCAATACAGCGACGCAAGAGGAAACAGAACTCCTAGCGGAGACGGAAGCTTCCCTTTTGGTCATATTAGATATGCCACTTCATTTTCAAGGCAGGCACAATATATAGATGGGTCACTCGTGTTCATTCGTGATGTCCATCTCGGCGGGGTATTACTGGCCAGTTTCCTTAATTTCCAGAGACGAACGTGAGGCGGGGAAGCCCAATCCCATTGGGGTATATCTGGACTAGAATATTCCAGGTTATCATTGGCCTTCACAAAATGGCGATCTTAACTGGTGCGAATATCTTTACTGGTTTATAAAGGGACGGCGTAGCGACCAAAGTTTGCGCATCGCATAGGACGGGCAAACTCTCGTCTCGGTCGATTATTTTGCCATTACGGTAACCAATGACAGCTGTGGACCCTTCCTGGGTTGAGCAGGTCTGAACGGGAATTGGCTAATTCAAAGATTCTCTGTGGAGTGTTCGCATACCGCACGTGTTGCTAGGGGCTTGAAAGTTTGAAACGTTGAAAGTAAATGTATATTTTACGTACTTGCATGAGTGCTGGTATGCTCCAGCTTGTATGCGAGGAACCATGGAAGTGTATACACATCTGTTTTGTTTTATCCAGTTACAGTGTGAGGAACCGCGAAAGCTTGTTTGCCCTTACGAGGCCTTTGCTTCTCATTTACAGGGGTGAGATGTTTAAGCGCTGGGTTATGCGTTCGCTTTGCAGAGCATGGCATTACAGACGGTTGCAGTTCAGTGGTGAGGCAGCAGATGTGGGGCGCATCAGCTGGCTGGGGGCAGCAGATACTGCGTTGTGCTTTGTGGCAAAAGGTGCATAGTATTGACGGCCAGGGTGATAAAGATGTCTCTTACACCAAAGTGCATAGCCGCCACCCACATGATCTGCTCGCTGATTGCAGCCAGTGGTGGCGTGCACGCATAACGCCGTACATAACTCTTGATCTTCGATCCAATGGAAATCCCTACTTAGTTATGAAAGGCTTTCTCCGTGCACGCTTGGCGGCTTTGACCATGCTTGTGCAACCTGTGAGCATCTAAAACTAGCCAAGGATGGTCGCGATCTCTCTTGCCTCAGCGTCGATTGCGTAACTCTTTACGTCGCTCCTGCACGTTAATCCAGGAGGCATCCGCACTTAGTTGTGGAAGGCTCATTTCGTCCACGTTTGGCTGTTTTGCGCATGTTTGTACAGCCTGTACGCATGGCGAACTAGCCAAGAGTGGTCGATGTCCCTTTCGCGTAGGCGTTGATGGCGCTCGTCCAAAGGACCTACGAAACGTTTTGCTTTGGCGTCGGCAGCGAGCGACGGGGCATGGCCCTTGTAAAACGGGCAAAGCCCATTTGCACTCAGCAGCGCTTATAACTCTAATAAAGAACTACCGCAAACAGGGGCGAGTTCTGTGAAAACGAGAGGGACATTCCCCTAGTGCGAGCAGCATAGTACTGCCTTGCAGTGGTGGTACGTTCCATGACGTGGGAGGGCTTCTGAGATGTTTGTGCCACAACTATTAGTTCCTGAGCATGCGGGCAGCATAACGGTGTTGCAAGGTCTTTACAGGATCAAAAGCTGCTTGACGCGGTTCTCAAATTCGTGCACTTGGAAGTTTCGACAAACCTATGAGTGCTCGACAAAGGCGCATGTAAGTTGTCTAGTTGGTCACATAAGCACAAATTTGTGCATGTGGGCTCTCAGCAGCATTCTCGTGTACTGTTTGCGAAGCGTCAATGAACTTCCCTCATCGTATGCACATTGGTTCGAAATGCTATCTGTGGTGCAACAGGTTGCTTGGGAGGGATCATGAGGCTGTTGTGGCCCAGCGTGTAGATCTCAAGCTTGCGGACTGCATAACGGTGGTTCGGATTGCTGACAGGATCAGCATTTTTGAGCAGGGTCTATCAGCTGTGCACGCTCGCAGTTTCTAGCAAAGACATCGCGTTGGATTCTGCACGCACACGAGTTGGTCGAGGCGTATAAAAACTACCAATTGGAAAAAGAGAGCATCAAAAAGCACTCACGCAGACTATTTGCAAACCTTTAACAAATTCCCCATCCTTGTATGCACGCTTATGGAAAATGGCGTCTGCAAAATTGTTGGGAGCTAGAAGAGTCAATGCAAAATCGTGTAGCAAAGGATTCGAGAGTGTGCAGCCGCAGCTAACCAGAACCGTGCCCCACCCTGTACCATCAGATGAAGGGAGTTCACATGATGATGCGCGCTGTTGTGGATGTTTTAAAGGGGTGTTTCCAGAGTGGGTCGGGGCCGTTTGTTACCTCTGGCGTTCAACCAGGTGTTCCACCCGGGAGGCCCTTTGCTGGCAGCGAGTGAGGCATACAGAGAGTATCTTTGCGTCAGCTTGTTCTTGTTCTTCACCATATGCCCCGGCGCCAGCGCGTCTGCAGTGCTTAGGCTGCGCATACGTATTGGTAAGCCGCAAGGCGGCAGCGATGGGGTGAGGTATGATACTCAGAAGAAACGTGCGGGTGGCTTGTTACGGGTAACGGTTCATGGACAGGCAACAATAGAGGGCTGCGTGTTGCATGTGCTGCATATTTTAGTGTGACAGGATATGAACAATTAGCGGGTATTCGTGGAGTGGAGCTTAGCAACCCTGGATCCTTACAGTTCATGGGCAAGCGGCAGACGGAGGGTTGCGCTAAGCACTTGCTGGTTATTTCCGTGCAGCAATGCAACGCTTCGCATACGTTCGTAGAGTCCAGCTTAGCAACATTGGGTCCCGTAAATTCGTTAACATCCTCGTAGGGAAGTGGCTGTTGATGTTCATAGTTCCTGAGCACCCGCTTCCTAATCGGTATTTGCAGGTGCATTGTTTTGGCGGGATTGTTGCGATACCTTTACGGACTGCAAGGAACTGCCTAGCGCCTTGCACTGTCTGTACGCGCTTCGTGAGTTGGTTACCCGCCGAAGCGCCTTTGCTGTTGGTTTAGTTCGCTGTAAGAAGATAGGCCCCGCTTCATGCACTGAAAATATGAATGAGACATTGGATGTAGTATCCGCGGATCTGAGAAAGTTGCAGAATGTATAGGTGGTTTGCACTGAAATTCACACATTTGCAAGGTTGCTGGGTGACATTTCCTGAAAAGATGAAACAGGCAGGCATCATTGCTGTGGCGCGATTCGTCAGTTGTCGCAGGCTTCCGCATGGAATCAGTGTGCCGCCATGTTTAGCCTCGCTCCGTGGTTGCACTGGCGGAACAACAGTGTTAGTATATGGTAAGTATTGGTCAGGCATTGGACGTGTCTCCGCAGTGGAGTGCATGACTTACCCGCATGGCCGGACACATTTTGCTGTTTGGGTTTTAGGCTGTTTGCGCTGCCTTTGCTTTCTCGAGTTGCAACTGCTGTTGGAACCCTTTAGCGTGGAAGGGGCTGTTTCCACGGACTGCAAGAAGTTGCATGTACAGCTTGGGATGTGTGGGAGTAGATGCGATGATCCGATGAAGGCGCGCACGGTTCCTGATAAACTCTGTGTGCAAACGCCGATGAACTAAGCTATGTTCCGATCTTGAGGAGTGGTTACCACTGGGAGCGCGGAGCACGGGAAAGGACATATGGGGAGAGAGCAACAAGGTGCGAGTCCGGTGTATGGAGTGTAATG